TTTACAATATAATATATAAAAAGTGAGCGCTCCTATGTCAGCAGCTAAAGCACTAAAGATAATCACAGCAAGCCTTATAAAGTGACCAAATAAATAAATAAAGTGCAGCGCTTAAGATAAATATGAATAATAAAATATTCTCCAAGAAATATGTGAATAAAAGTAAGGGGATAAATAGTTCATAAATGTAATTATGATGATCCACTTCTATAGCAGATTTCCAGGACAGGTATTATAGAGGGAACCAATAATAGAATTGCACACAGGTCTGTTGGTCTCCCCTCTGATGATGTGCTTTTGGCACGAAAGGCCTTAGGAGGAACCAACAGAGCATGACGTCACATCCGCCTGGAGCCACGAGGAAGCCCGGCGGCCATTTTAACTAAGGGTCAGTATCACTGCTGTACACTCTGCATTGTATAACAGAAACTGAAGCTTTGTTTACTACCCTGTTGTTACTACTATTTTTGACTCAATAAAATGTAACTATACTACACTATGGGCACCTGTTTTTTGGCTCCTATTGGAGCTAATTAACTCACAGGATACCCTTAATGTGATCCACAACCACCAGAGGGAGGGAGCCCTGTATCCAGGCTGAGCACCCATCCAACCTTAAGGGGACCTCTGGACCTAGCAGCTTTATCATATACCTTCCAAGGCAGGATGACCAATCCATAGATGGAAGCTCACCCACTCCTGCCTACCTAAGAGATCCTGGTGGATATTGATTATATGCGCATTATCCATGCGCGTCCGGTGAGTGCGCAATTCTATTATTGGTTCCCACTATAATACCTGTCCTGGAAATCTGCTATAGAAGTGGATCATCATAATTATATTTTATGAACTATTTATTTCATTCATATATTTCTTGGAGAATATTTTATTATTCATATTTATCTTAAGCGCTGCTCTTTATTTATTTATTTGAACTTGAAACTTACCCAGGTCTTGCTATTGGTCCTTTATAGGCCCTCACTACCCAGTAGGAATCCTTGGCATGCGGAAGGGATGGCTCCAAGCTTTGCTTGCACAAAAACCATTTGTTTTCATATACACCAGCCTTTCTCAACCTTTGTAACGCAGAAGAACCCTTGAAATCACTTTAAGGGCTCAGGGAACCCCTGCTAATAAATCTATATCTACAGTACATTAGTGTGAAGGTCGGTGGGAAGAATGCTCCTTATATTTGTAGTCATTGGGAAGAATTACCCCCTTACATATAGCTAAAAAGATCATTAGTGTCAATGGTTACTCATCTGAGGCAGAGGTTGCTCATTGCTCAAGGAACCCCTAGCAAACTCTGGAGGGGACCCTATGGTTGCATGGAACCCTGGTTGAGAAAGGCTGATATACACTATATGGTCGAAAGTATCTTGACGACCTGCCAAATTATTGCATGCAGGGTCACAGATCCAGCTCCATAAGGGCATAGTTTGATGATTTTGGTGGGGAGAAACTTACAGCTTACACAGAGCCCTGGCCTCAGTTCCATTGGACACTTTTGGGATGAACTGGAGCACTGACTGCAAACCAGGTCTTCTCCAACATCAGTGCTCAACCTTACTAAATGGTCCTGTGGCTGAGCAGACACAAATTCCCACAGACACACTCTTGTGGAAAACTTTCCCAAAAGAGTAAAGATTGTTATAACCTAAATAGGGATCCACTCCGTATTAATGTCAATGGATTTGAAACGGGATTTCCAACAAATTCATGTTCATGGTTATCAGACATCCACGATATAATGTAGGATAATGGAAAGTATTGCAGGGCAGAGCTGGAAGCAGGAGACCAATGTGGGCTTTTCAACGGACCCAGTTTTTTCCTCCTAGCTTATTGCTGGTTTCCCCAGCAGTGGTTGCTAAGAAAGTCAGGAGGCCCTATAGGAACGAGATCATCACCCTGCAATGACTGGATCAGGAACTGTCATTTCCTGTCTAAGACTACTGAAAACTTTATTTTGCACAGTTTTATCAGAACAAAAACAGGAGATTTTCTATTTCTTTTATAGACAGTTCTGTACTGTTATGGTTTCAGAGATCAAATATATGGTATAATGCAAATATCTAATTTTTTATGCCAAATTACAACACGTTCTCACCTTTCTGATTTGAAGCACTATAAATATTTACATTTATTATGTATATTTTTTAATCAGTCCTTTTAGAAGGAAAAAAAATGTAATTAGAACTTTTTATGTAGATGAAATAGGGAAAAAAAGCAGCAAGTAACATAACAAAAGCCATTTGCGCATTCTGGATTCCATTCTTTCATGAAGTTTATTTCAGCCAGACATTAATCTCCATGTATGTGTTTGTTCTTGACATGTGTACTGTCTTAGCATCTCCATTTTTCAGTCATTCCTAGAAATCTGCATTGTGACTCATTATCATTTGCTCTATGGTGATCCAGAGCTGATGTCCATGCTAAGAATGTATTCTTAAAGGAACAGTTCACCCAAAATTGACATTTCAGTTATGGAGAATGTCCAGTGGAATGACTCAGCTTGTAGCTTCTTATATCTCAAAGTGACTCCAGACCTGAGATCCACCAAACACAATTCCCAGCTTTACTCCACCATCACGGGGTGAAAAAGTCCCCTGTTCAGTTACCATTGTTAGTGGAGGGAACTGGGAAACAAAAGAGGACTCACCCATGGTGTCCCTGAGAGGTATAGAAAGCTGTATATAAAGCTTCCCTTCTACTATGAACTGTCATTTTTTGGGTGGACTGATCCTTTTGTATTTTCTCAGTTTTGTGGGTTACATTCTAAAGTCAAGTAAGTTATATCTCTGCCAATATTTGCAAGAATCTTGGTAAAATCCAGACATTATTTTGCATGGCATCTTAGCTTTTGCAACAACTACTGAAAGCATGACTTGTTTTGGAGGTAGCTAAATGAGGAGCTAGGAAGCTCTAGTGTAAACCCTAAACCAGGGTTCTCCAAACTTTTTTTAACAAATGGCCAGATTACTGTCCTTCAGATTTTAGAGAGGCTGGAGTATGGCCAATGGGAGTAGAAAATGTCCCAGCAGCAGTGGAATTAAACAATGCTTCACACTGAGTGGTTAGTGGCAGTAAGAAAATTACATGGTGCCTGGGGTCAGCCGGAGGAGAAATAGTGACCAAGCAATGGTATCAGTGGGAGGAAAAGTGCCCCATCATTGGTATTAGTGGGTGGAATAGTGCCCCATCATTAGTATCAGTGGGAGGAATAGAGCTCCATCATTGGTATCAGAGGGGGGAATAGTGCCCCATCATTGGTATCAGTGGAAGGAATAGTGCCCCATCATTGGTATCAGTGGGTGGAATAGTGCCCCATCATTGGTATCAGTGGGAGGAATAGTGCCCCATCATTGGTATCAGTGGGAGGAATAGTGCCCCATCATTGGTATTAGTGGGAGGAATAGTGCCCCCATCATTGGTATCAGTGGGAGGAATAGTGCCCCATCATTGGTATCAGTGTGAGGAATAGTGCCCCATCTCTGGTATCAGTGGGAGGAATAGTGCCCCATCTCTGGTATCAGTGGGAGGAATAGTGCCCCATCATTGGTATCAGTGGGAGGAATAGAACCCCATCATTGGTATCAGTGGGAGGAATAGTGCCCCATCATTGGTATCAGTGGGTGGAATAGTGCCCCATCATTGGTATCCGTGGGAGGAATAGTGTCCCATCATTGGTATCAGTGGGAGGAATAGTGCCCCATCATTGGTATCAGTGGGAGGAATAGTGCCCCATCTCTGGTATCAGTGATAGGAATAGTGCCCCATCATTGGTATTAGTGGGTGGAATAGTGCCCCATCATTGATATCAGTGGGAGGAACAGAGCCCCAAGGGCCAGATAAAAACAAGCAAATGACCGCAGTTTAGAGATCTCTGCTCTAATCAAAATAAGTTAAACATATAACTGTTGAAGTTTCCTTTAAAAAATGGTTCCCTTCAATGATCTTTGTCTAGGGCATCCAGTTCAGTTTGGTTTAGGGAATATAAGTATGGCCTTCTAGACATCTGGTAACTAGTCAAAACTAGCCTCTGTCAAACCAAATGTAGAGGTTTCCTCTGTGTCTTCCGAAAGCTTTCATTATAGTTTGGCTGTCTACCCTGTTTAATTGAAGCTTCATTGCCTGCATGCATTATATTTTTAAGAAACAGTCCAAAAAGTCCAAAAAAGGCAAACTAATTAGATATTTTCCAATATTGTCTAATCCCCACAAACAAAATGACAGCTGCAATTAGAGTTTATCCCAAATTTAAAATTTTGGGAATTCAGATTGCCAAATCCAGATTTTACTGTTATTTTTTGGTGGTTACAATTTCCAAAAGTCATCTGGGAGAAAGGAACCAAAAATTGTCTGTTACTGCCTTATGTCTGCTTCTGCTAGATTGACCTCCAGTGACACCATTTGTATTCTGGTAGAAATTTTAAAGGAAATGGCTCAGGCTGTTCTTTGGCCCCATTGTCTTGACAAGCAGAGCTTGGTTTGGATACCATCAATTTTAGTGGGACTTCTAGTTTGGAAATCTGAATTTTGGAGGTTTTCAATTTTTTAACAAGTTTGGCTGAGACACAACTGATTGAACTTTGGTCAAGATGTCTTAAATTCATTTGATCACTTTGATATATGAGGCCCAGTGTCTTCATTGTTCCTCATGACCATAATTCAATGGTTTGGATATTCAAAGATGCCATTTGGTTTACCTCAAGCCTACATAATTTCTGTTAGAAAAGTTTATGTTCAACCAGAGAGGGTCCCGTTAGTGAAGAACCACATGGCTATTTGAAGTATTTCACTTGTAGGACGCTCTTGATCACATGTAGAACATCTAAGCATCTTCTCCACCATCTTAATAAATACTGATGTAAGTAACTGTTCTCTTCAGTACCTACATTAGCATTTATGGCTCATCTAGAACTCATCACTCATCTGTTGCTTAAGAAGTGCTCCAAATATCAATGCTATTATTTAATTCATACATTTTGTTTCGTTTCTAGGGAAAAGAGAAACATGCAAACACCAGAGTAAGTGTCTTCTCTATGTTACCTTGTTGTCACCTAATCTTCACCACCCACCTCACTGTAGCTTGCCATGCCTCACCCATGTGTTTCATGCTCCACCTTGGAATTCACTCATGGATTATTTTTGGTGAACGCTGCTTATAGTTTTTTTTAGGTTTACTAGGTGTGTTGGTGCACAGACTGTGATATTTGTATCAATGTATGCGGTGTACCAGAGAAGCTGTTTATATGAGGTTATGTCTAGGTCTTCTGAGGCAGAACAGCTGGTGTTAGGGCCTGCAAAAATATCTGCAATAAACTCTGGAAAACCTCTAAGCAAAACGACTATCCAGGGATTGTGTGTGTGTGTACGTGTTCATTTTATGGAGGTTTTAGGTAGATGCTGTTGATTTGTATAAGCTATTATCTTTTTATATATCTGGGCTCTATAGTTGTTAGATCTCTGTCCTTGGGTTCCCAGATCTATCTGGCATGATCATTACAAACAGATAACATTGCCAGTGTCCCCAAGAGATTTATGTAACTTTTGTGGAATGAAGAGACAGGCTGACGTATGGTTTCAAAGAGGTTATCGATCCCCCTCCATCAGGGCTTGTGCAGGTGAGGGTTGGGGAAAAAGCTGGACTGAGAATGAGAATCTTGGAGTAGAATTTCCAGCATGGATTAATGGCCTTCTCTGATTGTTGGTTTATCCACCAACCTAAGTGATGCAATATAGGAAACCTTGGATGACTCAACCCACCACAATTAAACAAACCTGAAATATGTTTTTAGTGAACATTGTCTCCTGGATGTATTTGAAGGATGTTCCAGCTAAAAAATACAGTCAATAAGCATTCCACTATAGTGGCGGGAGTATATTTTGTTTAATTTGCTTTAGATCATAAGCTCATAAACTTGCAACTGAGGGCTATGTTGGGTCCTGGCCTGTCTTTGCTATCAGTCACTGTAGCTGCTGTTAAAGTTCTTATGTCACGGATTTCCTATAAGTTATATGGGTTATCTACAGTATAGAGATCCTCTGTAGTAATCACTTCATTCTCAGATCAGCTGGTGAGAGAGTCAGTTCAGGACATCCTGTAGCCCCAACCTTTCCCAAAGATAAATGAGCCAATGACTGCAGATAATGAACACTTTCATGGATATAAATTGTGAACATTTTAGTCTTTTAGACAGATGGACATTTCTTTGGTTGCCAGTTGTAGTTCTTATTTGACATTACCAGGACTTCAAGGTCAACCCTGCCTAATGGTAATATTTTGAAGTTTTTGAAAAGACAACCTGTGATTGAATTTTTGGGGTCCTCTAACTCTCTAAAGCTTAATCAAGTTACGGATAAGTTTTGAGTTTGCCGTTATCATGGGATGATGCAAATCCTGCAGAGTTCAGGTTTTATGATCCTGGTGAATTTATATGTGGATTCACCCTGAGAATTTTTTGAGACCGTAATGCACTGCATGGCCTTAAATATATGGCTAGCAAACTTAGAAAGCAGGCTTTTGTATAAGCCAGAGCGCTTCACTATAAAAGTGGGGCACAGAGGAGCTGTAGCGTCAGTTTGGTGGAAGCTGCTATAGGAAAAGGATAGGAGAATATACATTTCATACTGTAGGTTAGAATTAGCAGAAATTAGGATCAGTTATAAAACATTAATTCTAATTGCTAGTTATTTGGGCAAATAACCAATTTGCTGCCTTTTTGTCCTTAGTATTGGGGCTTTTTTGTTATTCATTTTATTTTTTGGTTGATTCAAGGTCAATGGTCACTCTTATTTGCTGTCCTGTCCGTATGATATTTTATTTTTTGCAGCAAGGCTTTTCAGATCATGGTATTTAGGGGAGGGGGGGTGTTTATTTTCGGGGGGGGGGGGATTTTTTAAATCTTTTTTTTTGCTGTGCCTCCCTTTTTTGTTTTTTTTCAGGGTGGTCCTTTGGGGTTGTCTTTTATGAGTTTGTATTTAACTTGTATGTTCATAAGACCATTGTTTAGGTTTTAGGTTTTAGGGTGCTCAAACAGCTTCACTTGTTACTGACCATCTGTCCTGGGAGCTGCCTTTTTTTTGCAGCATGTCAATCCATCACATGAAAGAAGAAAAACACTAAGTGCACCTAAACCACCTCACAATATATAACTCACAATCAATGCACCCCCATCCCCATAAATAAAAGTTAGGCATACCCCTGTTAGGCCTTTTATCCCTGATTAAAACTGTCCTGCTGCTATTCAATTTTACACTGCTTTATCCTCCATGGTCTTGTGATTCTTAATGAGAGCATGATAGATATGGACCAGGGGCTTAACAGCTTTGAAACAGACAGAAAAGGGACAGTCACAGCAGACTACTGGTCAAAGGGGTCCTATTACCACTTTATCAAAAAGCATGTATCACAGTTAAAACTACCTAAAAATATCATTTTTTCAAATTGCAATGAATCAGATTGGGGTCCACAACCAAATATGTGCTATCTGTGAGAATCATGCTGTTACCTAACACTAAATACAGCTTTAAGGCATCCCACAAGCGTATTATTTAAATGATTTATGTATTTATAATATTGCCCTTAAAGCTGCATGAAAAAACCCTCCCAACTGTATGGTATTTTTACTTTTTTTTGTTTGCATTGATGCATGTCTCCCATGGTAGTACCCAGCTTCTCATAGCTTTTGCCTATAACCCCCTCAAAAGTAAAATTAATATGCCTAATAGCCCTAAAAATGGATGGAATTTAACAAGACCCTTCCCCCCATGATCAATAGACTTTAATGGGATTTGCCTCTGAGTTGAGGGTTGGTGAACCTTCGGCAAATTGATTACTAAAGACAAGCATTTCTACCTTGCATATTTAACCGAGTCTACAAAGGCTTTATCTCACCCATGGCTGGAGTCCTCATATATGTATTCTACATTAGGGAACATTCATCTGGGAGTTTGATACTGTCAATAGGCTTTTAAGGGCTGTAACGAGCTAGCAGAGAATTTTGGGGAAATCTTGCCAGGGGTGTGCCAAAGACAACTAAAAACTTTCGGTAACCATGTAAAACTGAATTAACAAATTGGATAATGTTGGCCGATATCTTTCTTCCTTATCTATCAAAATTCTGAAAAAGAACTGTACCTTCTCTGTTTTCCACAGTGCAACCACAACGTACTTTTCTCCAATTCTTTCATAAATGGTTTTTGCTAACAACTTTGCTTATGGTGCATTGATGTGATGAAACCTTCTAATATCTTTCTGTTTTACAACTGTGCAGGAAAGTCTCCCAGGCATGATATGAGTAAAATGAACAAAATGTAATATTTAAACTTTCTGTTTTACTTCAGCATTCAGCTTGTTCACCACGGCGCCATCCAGAAATCATCCAAAGAACTTCGTGACATGTCGAAAAACAGGGAGATTGCCTGGCCTTTGTCCACGCTTCCAGTTTTCCATCCTGTGACTGGCGAAATGGTGCCGCCCCTTCACACAGATACCTACGATAACACCAACATGCCACTAATGCAAACACAGCAGTGAGTATTAATTTTTGGTTTGGGAACTGTAAAGGACAGGTAAAGTAAAAAAAAAAAAAACAAAACAAAACAAAAAAAAACCTCTTTGCCTGCTCTACCCTTGTCCTTCACATAAAAAACGTACTTTTTATTGTTCTGAGAGCTGTCATCTCAGAGACCATCTAGAAACCTGGACACCAGGACTGGAAACATAGAGGTTTTATGCTCTAGATCATCCTTTTTCATCCTTTTCAACACAGAGGAACCCTTGAAATAACTTTGCGTTCTCCTGGAACCCCTGCTAACAATCACTATATTTACAACTCAGTTTACAATGATGTGATAATGGGAAGAATGCTTCTTACACTTGTGGTCATTGGGAAAAAAGACTCCCTTACAGATAGCTAAAATGATCGTCATGGTGTCAGTGGGAGGTAGAACTTGTTCATTGCTCAAGGAACCCCTATCAACTTCTGGAGGAATCCTAGGCTTCCATGAAATCCTAGTTGAGAACCCCTGCTCTAGATTATTGTGATGGCACAACAAGGAACCATAAATGATCATTTCTGTAATGTACTGCAAATATAATTAATGGAGAAACAGATCAGATTGTTATGTAGAAGGTGGCTTCTACATTATTTTTGCTAACCAAGGTAATGCCATTCCAGGTGAATAATTGACTCGTCCTTGTTGTGAACATGAAACCAGGGTGCTGCTCAGCTCGCCTGTGAGACCTAATGAACATGTAAAAGTCCAGAATATAGCTGCATTCTTTGATATCTTTATTTAAATATTAAAATTACATCACATCTGTAGCAGGAACACAAAAGGCTAATGTGTTTCACACTAAATACAGAGCTTACTCATACCTCCAGGTATGAGTATGTGCAGTATTTAGTGTGAAACGCATTACCCTTTTGTGTTCCTGCTGCAGATGCGATGTAATTTTAATATTTAATAAAGATATTGAGGAGTGCAGCGATATTCTGGACTTTTACATATTTTAGCTAAATGCCTATGTTCTGTTCCATATAAATTCAGCCAGTCAACTGTGCCAAGTGAAGTGCAAGTTTAGATCCCTGCAGCCTTCCATGTTGTTCTCAGTTCTGGTCTGTACACGTGTGTCTTTCTATATCAGCCTTTCTCAACCTGGGTTCCCTGGGACGCTAGGGTTCCTCCAGAAGCTGCTAGGAATTTCCTTGAGCTGTGGCTGATTGATCACTCATGTGATGGTGCCTACATAGTTATGGGTCCAATGCCACTTGGCAAAGCCAACTTCCAACTGACCACCAATTTAAGGGTCATTTTCCCATTGACCCTGATGAATTGGTTTTCTAAAAATGTTCCCTAAGACCTGAAAGTTAAAGATAAACAACACTCTGATGGTTTGGGCCCGTGATGGAAGATCTCACAGCACATATTTGCACAATTGTTTGGTATCCCTGGCTGATTAAACGACTAGGGCACAACTGCCACTATAGCAGTCCATGTGACTTCTATGTACTGTAAATCGGCAATGGGGAGTTTTTGGGGAAGGGCGTAGCCAGCTATTTTCACCTGCCCAGCCTTTTCCCATGGAACAAAATGCAGCCTGCCTGGACCCCTGATTTATTCAAAAAAATTGGATTACTTTTTAAATTGGATTACTTGAGTGATTGAGCTTCCCAAGCCAGTATAGGTCTGAAGATACTAAGTGGAGCCCGAATATTGGTAGAGGCATCTCAGCTTCTCTCCATCTGTGTGCCAGGCTAATCTGGCTATCTCTAGAGGTAATGGTCAACTAAAACCAATAATTATTTCAGTGTTGGAGCAGATTACTGCCCTTCTCCCATTACCACCAATGTAAGGGGGCTTTTCTGCACTGAAAACCAATTTAAGAGGACCCTACCTCACCGACCACCTCCTCCACTCACTACCAATGCAAGTTGACCACTCTCTAACCAATAATGTAAGGCGGGCCCTATTTACTGACCCCCTATGTAAAGGGGCCCTTCCCCAACAACCAGCAATGTATGAGTGCCTTCTCCACTCACCACCTATGTAAGGGGGTGCTTCTCTACTACTCACACATCTAAAAGAGGCCTTATTCACTGGTCACCAAAGTTAGGGAGACCTTTTCCCACTGATCAACAATTTATGGGGCAACAATGACTGTCAATGTAAGGCATCACTTTTCAACTGACCATCAACTGATGTTCTTATTTGGAGTACAAATGCCAGCTGCCACAGAGATTGTAAAGATATATAGTTACAAAAGCATTACAGTGTAAGATCCAACTAATGCTAAAAAAACAGCGAACAACACAAATCGCGACAAATAATGGTCATGACATAGGGGAAGTACACCAGGGGGGATAAAATATAAAAAAGCCCTGCATGGCAATGGGACCCTTAATACACTTACAACTTTACTCAATCAGAAAGATGTGCTACGCACATCCAAGCAGATATGATAACAATGAGATGACAGAAGGCATAATATATAAATATGGAAAAATGTTACGTTCCAATATATGAATCAATAGTGTCAGTTGAGTCGACCCAGAGGTCCCACACCTTTTTGAATTTCAAGATACATATCTTGCTTTATACATTGGGATCACCAGGTTAACTAAGGATCTCCAATAGTCTATCGATGGCGCCATTGGCCCTTTCCATTTAAGAATGATTGCCTTTCTAGCATAAAACAAAAGAAGGCGGAAAAGGGTTCTGCATTAGTTTAGGGTTCTACAAGACCCAGTAAGCACACTCTGAATTGCAAAAGGACTAGGAATAGCAGTGAGTCTGGTAATAAAATGGACCACATTGTCCCAATAATGCTGTAGTTGTGGACAGGCCCATAGCATATGTATAATATCAGACGTCTCACTTCAGCCACAACAAAACTTTGTCATTGTCCCATGATTTGCACTTATACCTCTGTTAAGAGTTGAAGTTGGCCTTTAATTATTGTGTAATGTGTATCAAAAAAACATTGACCTTCAGAAGGTTCCACCATGAACTGACAAATGTTTCATTGTGTTTCCTAGGACAATACCACATCAGACAGCAATACCTCAGCAACACAATCCAGGTCAGTGGAGCAAAGCATTGTGGGTATATGGTTTATTATAGTGACAGGTTTTGGTGTGATGTAGATAGATGTTCCAAAGCTCATAAGAATTGTCCATCCTGTACACCAGTGGTAGTCAATTTATTTAAAATAGCTGTCCTCAAGTGTAGTCCCTGACATCACCAAAGGGCAACGCATACTATTCAGGGACTGTAAAGCTACAGGAAGCTGGAACAGACTGCAGACATGAAACAACATATAGAGACTGGGAACATGCTTTATGAGAAAGTGATAGACTGGAGACAATTTTTTTTTCAGGCACTTATCAATTTACACAGCGCTTTACACATATATATTGTACATTCACATCAGTCTCTAACCCTCAAGGGGCGTACAATCTAAGGTCCCTAACTCACATCCATACATACAAATACTAGGGCCAATTTAGACAGGATCCAATTCACCTACCAGCATGTCTTTGTAGTGTGGGAGGAAACCCACGCAGGCACAGGGAGAACATGCAAACTCCAGGCAGGTGATGCCATGGCTGGGATTTGAACCAACAACCCTAGTACTGCCAGGTGGAAGTGCTAACCAGTTAGCCACTGTGCTGCCCATCAATGGGGACTGCTAGAGATTGCTGCTCTTACAGTCCTTTTAACAAAGCAATGTTTCCACATTTGTGCTCACTGTAGTACCCTTAAAAATAACTTGGGCCACATTTGATATTTGTCTTAGTTTTCTTTATAAAAGATCAGATTGGTAGAGGTGGACAAAAGAAAAAAAAAGGCAGTATGAAATGAAGAAATAAACAAAACCATCCACCCAGAAGCCGGTGCAAGGAATATTCTTCCTTCACTGTTTTTAGTGTAATTGGCTGTATGGAAATTCCACAAAAAAAAAAAACAAAAAACCTGGGAGGTGAAATTTTCAGGGACCATAGAGGTACGTGTTGAAAGTTTGTTGTGATTTTCATATTAGGTTACGTTATTCCTTGGGTTGCAGATGTGGAGGTCCAAGTGAGGCTCTAGATGCCTGGGCATACAATTATAGCATGTGAAGGACCCACTGATTTCCTGCACCCCACTTCTAAATGTGTCCTTTATACACATTATGTGGTCCCTACGTAGAATGACTAGAGGAAGATCAAAAATTCATGAAGTGGTCACTGTACTTCAGTAACCACATTCATATGTAAAGTCCTCTATTAGTACAACTTCAAAGAACTGTTACATTTCCTTGTAGCACATGTTTTACTGAACATCAGTTACCTGTCCCTAAAAGGGTCAGTCTTCCCAAAAGTGTCAGTTTGAGTCAGTCCTGGCTTCTTATACACTTCCTGGCCACTTTATTAGGTACACCTGTTCAATTGCTTGTTAACACAAATTTCTGATCAGCCAATCACATGGCAGCAACTCAATACATTTAGGCACGTAGACGTGGTGAAGACAACTTGCTGAAGTTTAAACCGAGAATCAGAATGGGGAAGAAAGGGGATTTAAGTGACTTTGACCGTGGCATGGTTGTTGGTTCCAGATGGGCTGTTCTGAGTATTTCAAAAACTGCTGATCTACTGGGATGTTCACACATAACAATCTCTAAGGTTTACAGAGAATGGTCCGAAAAGGAGAAAATATCCAGTGAGTGGCAGTTGTGTAGATGAAAATGCCTTGTTGATGTCAGAGGAGAATGGGCAGACTGGTTGCTGTGACATTCAGATGGTAGGGTCAGAATTTGGCGTAAACAACATGAAAGCATGGATCCATCCTGCCTCGTATCAGTGGTTCAGGCTGGTGGTGTAATGGTGTGGGGGAGATTTTCTTGGCACTAGCAAGGTGTACCTAATAAAGTGGCCGGTGAGTGAACATCTTGGATCCTCCCAACAGTGAGATCCCCCTGATATAATGCCTGGTTCTGTCCCTCTGCTCATGGGAGTTTTGGGTGTTCCCATCCACCTTTGTGCATCCCAGCTCCTCCGGTTACGTTCTCCATATTATAAAATGAATAAACCCTTTAGTGTGGATAGCGGGAACTCCTCATAATGGGAACAGCAGACCTGGGAACTCAGTGCAGAGATCTCGCCAATAGAATCCTCAAGAAATAGAAGACAAGGTCAGAAGGTTTGACTCTCCTACGTCTAAGAAGTAGGCTGACCTATGAATTACTTTTACATCTTTATCCTGTTTAACAAAAAACAAATATGTGTAAAAATTACCTATGGAAGCAGAACGGGGAATTTCATATTGTTCTTCCTCTTCATTACTGCTTTCCGAATCCAAAGGAGAATTTCGCATGGCAACATTTCAGAGGTTTGAAGTAAGTATAACCAACAGTCAACTGTTTCTTTTTATTTAAAACCTTCTATGATGTTTCACATGGAATACCCAAACTTTCAGGTCTTTTGGTACTCTTATTGATCCACCGCCATACAATTACTTGGGTTTATCAATGACATTAGAGCTTTATGTGAAGATGTATTTCAATCACTAAAATGTGTTGACACCCTCTGCCATGGGCCTCTGATGGAGACTACAAGGGGTCATATTTAGCTATATCACCCACCTGAACTCCAAGATGATGTTTTTAAATCATCAGCTGGAAGTCTGTCATTTTATGGGTGTAGACCGATCCAGCCTTGTGTGTTTACATATGGAAGCCAGCCAGGGATCTGCCATTTTGCAGCAGTAGCATGACAGGTCAACATGGACAGGTGGCAGGTCATCATTACACGTTGTTGTTGACACTACATTTACGAGGGACATCATTTTTTTCACATTGTGGGTGTTTTTATTTACTTACATTTTTTACGCGCTGTTACAGTATGTACCCTGTACGCATTCATCTAGTACAGTGGTTCTCAACCTTTCTAGCGCCGCGACCCCTTAATACAGTTCCTCATGTTGTGGTGACCCCCAACCATAAAATTATTTTCGTTGCTACTTCATAACTGTAATTTTGCAGTAGGAGGAATAGTGCCACGTCATTGGTGTCATTGGGAGGAATAGTGCCCCATCATTGGTGTCATTGGGAGGAATAGTGCCCCATCATTGGTATCAGTGGGAAGAATAGTGCCCCGTCATTGGTGTCAGTGGGAGGAATAGTGCCCCATCATTGGTGTCAGTGGGAGGAATAGTGCCCCGTCATTGGTGTCAGTGGGAGGAATAGTGCCCCATCATAGGTGTCAGTGGGGGGAGGAATAGTGCCCCATCCTTGGTGTCAGTGGGGGGAGGAATAGTGCCCCATCCTTGGTGTCAGTGGGGGGAGGAATAGTGCCCCATCCTTGGTGTCAGTGGGGGGAGGAATAGTGCCCCATCCTTGGTGTCAGTGGGGGGAGGAATAGTGCCCCATCCTTGGTGTCAGTGGGGGGAGGAATAGTGCCCCATCCTTGGTGTCAGTGGGGGGAGCAATAGTGCCCCATCCTTGGTGTCAGTGGGGGGAGGAATCGTGCCCCATCCTTGGTGTCAGTGGGGGAGGAATAGTGCCCCATCGTTGGTGTCATTTGGGGGAGGAATCGTGCCTCATCGTTGGTGTCAGTGGGGGGAGGAATAGTGCCCCATCGTTGGTGTCAGTGGGAGGAATAGTGCCCCATCATTGGTGTCAGTGGGAGGAATAGTGTCCCATCGCTGGTGTCAGTGGGAGGAATAGTGCCCCATCATTGGTATTAGTGACACCAATGATGGGGCACTATTCCCACTGACACCAATGATACTTACCTTGCAGACCCCTGCTCCAGCCTGGGCTCGCTCGCTCCCTCCCTCTCCCATGGTACCGACACTTACCTGTCAGATGTCTTCCTTCTCCGGCCGCTCTCCTCCTCTTCACTCGCTCGATCTTCGCGGTGCCGCTCGGCTCCTCCTCTCCAAGCTCCACCTCCTTGCCGGTGATTGGCCGCCTGTGTGCCTCTCCTGAGCTACAGTGCCGGCGGCCAATCACAGGCGAGGATTGATCTCGAGGTGTGTCCAGATGACAGGGGCGGCATGTCATCCCGCCCACACCTGGAGACGGCGGTGGCGGCGGCGAGGAGCGGTGTCTCGGTTCCTAAGACCATCGGAAATATGTGTTTTCCGATGGTCTTAGGCGACCCCTGTGGAAGCGTCGTTCGACCCCCAAAGGGGTCGCGACCCCCAGGTTGAGAACCGCTGATCTAGTATGAGGCGGATGTCTTGGGGCCCCATTATTCTAACGGGCTTCCAGATTCCAATATATCTCACAAACCACTAGATCCCTTTTGAGAGACAGGTTGTTTGTATGAGTCTTTTCCCAGCAAGGTGCCCTGCACACTCCCTGCCCCCGCCCTATCCTGGACACCCAGGCTGCAAGCTTGGATAAGAGTCTTTATGAAACTTTAGGAGGACTCCATGCTATTTTTCAGACTCTTTATGAACCTTTAGGAGGACTCCATGCTATTTTTCAGACTCTTTATGAACCTTTAGGAGGACTCCATGCTATTTTTCAGACTCTTTATGAAACCTTAGGAGGACTCCATGCTATTTTTCAGACTCTTTATGAAACTTTAGGAGGACTCCATGCTATTTTTCAGACTCTTTATGAAACTTTAGGAGGACTCCATGCTATTTTTCAGACTCTTTATGAAACCTTAGGAGGACTCCATGCTATTTTTCAGACTCTTTATGAAACTTTAGGAGGATCCCATTCCATTTTTCAGACTTATTTTTTAAACTGTCCCTTAGCAAAAAAAAAAAACAGTAAGGGGGGGGGGGTTCCCCCTAAAATTCAACTAGACTTTTATCTAAGCGTAGAGCAAGGAAAAGTAGGACAGTAAACCTACTTTAGAGTAAGAATGTCCCTGGATATCTGCCCCCCACCCCTTAGGGCAGGTGTGTCAAACTCAATTTCATGGCGGGCCGCATCAGCATTATGGTTGCCCTCAAAGGGCCAGTTGTATCTTTAAGACTAAATGTCCAGAGCACCCCATCCTTCCCTATATCACAGTGCATCCCCCCCCCCCCTTACCTTGTGCTGCTGTCAGGAAGAAGCTGGAGGTGGAGCTGGGAATCAGTAAGTGCAG